CAGATATTTCACCAGATGTATAAATGTGAAGCATCTGCTTGGCGTTTCCACTTACTACATTTACATTTTAGTCATTTTAGCAGACACTCTTATCCAGAGCGACTTACAGTTAGTGAGTGCATACATTTTCATACTGGCCCCCCGTGGGAAACGAACCCACAACCCTGGCGTTGCAAGCGCCATGCTCGAACAACTGAGCTACAGGGGAAACCAAATATGGTGGTGAGAGGAAGCCTAGTGGCCGGCAGTGGGAGAAGATTTTGGCCGACATTCTGTAAATGTTTTCATCGATGAAACATTTGTTGTTCTCCGCTAACATCAAAGCGGTGACCCGATCCTGCAGGTTCATGCTCTACAACATTCGCAGAGTACGACCCTACCTTACACAGAAAGCGACACAGGTCCTAATCCAGGCACTTGTCATCTCCCATCTGGATTACTGCAACTCGCTGTTGGCTGGGCTCCCTGCCTGTGCCATTAAACCCCTACAACTTATCCAGAACGCTGCAGCCCAGTCTGGTGTTCAACCTTCCCAAGTTCTCTCATGTCACCCCGGTCCTCCGCACACTTCACTGGCTTCCAGTTGAAGCTCGCATCTACTACAAAACCATGGTGCTTGCCTACGGAGCTGTGAGGGGAACGGCACCTCCTTACCTTCAGACTCTGATCAGACCCTACACCCAAACGAGGGCACTATGTTCATCCACCTCTGGCCTGCTAGCCCCCCTACCTCTACAGAAGCACAGTTCCCGCTCAGCCCAGTCAAAGCTATTCGCTGCTCTGGCACCCCAATGGTGGAACAAGCTCCCCCAAGACACCAGGACAGCGTAGTCACTGATCACCTTCCGGAGACACTTGAAACCCTACCTCTTTAAGGAATACCTGGAATAGTATAACAGTAATCCTTCTACCCCCCCATAAAAAAAAAAAAAAAGGAGTGGTTGTCCCACTGGCTATCATAAGTTGAATGCACCAATTTGTAAGTTGCTCTGGATAAGAGCGTCTGCTAAATGACCTAAATGTAAATGTAAAATCTCAAAACAGTTTTCTGTTCCCAAAACTATCATCTGTTATGAACAGAGTGGACTACGTTTTGTAGACTTGACTCTTTGCCAAAGTTTCCAAAAATTGCGTTGTAGGTGTTCCTTAACCTCCTAGGGCTTAGTGGTCACATACGTGGACAGCACTTTTTAGCTCTTATGTCCACAATTGTGTAGAAGTTCTGTCATATTTCATGGCTTATTCTGATTTAGATATTTATAAAAGCCTTGTATATTTGTCATGACATGCAAATTTGAAAAAAAAAGTGTAAAACTAGCAACTTTGTAGGTCGCTAAACATGAAGTACACGTAAGTGTACTTATGGACTGAGGCTCCTCGAAACAGCTAATATGCTTGTAAACATGCACACACGTAAAATGGGAAAACAGCTAGCTCTGATGCAGCTAAAAAGCTGTACATGGTCCCAATGAAATAAATAACAATTAAATCACTAAATACATACATACATACTTAAATTAGTTGTGTTGAAAATGTTAGCCTAATGCAAGAGTGACTATTTAAAATGCTTTGAATGTTTTATATTTTGTTACAGACATACAATGTCATCCTGCAACTATTTTGCAGCATATCAAATGTTCCAAACACTATTTTTAACTGTCCAAAATGGGCAAAAATGCAATGTTTCCATATTATTTTTACTCTCCGATAGTCAAAACATGTTCAAAAAATATGTGTATGTGTTATTAATACATTAAAAAACAGTCAGGAAAAAACTGCTGTGTTCAAGGCAGAAATGAAGAGTTTTTCATTCTATTACACAAAGGGGAAATATGCAAATACATGCTAGAACGTGCCAATAGGATCTCGCTAGCTCGTGCTTGGCTCTGCCCACCTCCTTCTTTGTTCTGCCCACTATGACTCATTTGTTCCTATTGGAAACGACAGGATGTGATCTATCTTGGGTTAGTTATAAACATCTTTGCTGGAGGTGTGAGATAAGCAAGGGGAAGGCCGACTCCTGCTGGGAGCTTGCTGTGAGTAGCCCTCCCTCTTCCTTTGTTCTCTGGCCAGTGAAGAGAGTGTATCCTTGTGTATTGTTATTGTGGTTGACATCTGGCGTGGATGTGTTCATTCGACACTCCTCTACAGAATTTTATATGCAGTTAATGTTATCTTAGCCAGCAAACTAGCCAGCCTGTTAACGTTATAACAATGAAGACCAGCGAGCACAGGCAGTAACCCACAGAATATAACTAAAACAAAACCCGCCAACAGATTTAAAAAAAAAGCTAAGAGAGAGTAGAGACTTACATATTGACTGCTGAGGCCCATCATGGCAAGAACTGTAGGCTGAGTTAGCTACAAAACAAAGCGAGAGCCAGGGAGAGAGGCACTTCCGATGTGAGAAGCCTAGCTAGCTATTTTAGCCAGCTAACTAGCCTTGCCAGCTAGCATATCTCTGCAGAGGAAACTTCCAACAGATATGAAATGTCAAGCTGTCCGACAAAAGCAGCGACTCCGAGCAGGAACTCTGTTTCCCCTGGGCCTGACCTGACCTTTTTGGAGAATCTGATGAAGACGAGGTGGTGGCAGAGCAGGCAGCTGAGGCAGGGATCACTTTCCCGTTTCGATTTGAGCCCTAAGCAAGGCACCGAGAGCGTGCTGGTAGTGTAGGATGCGGCTCCACATGTAGGGAATGTTGATTGGTAATATGGCTAGCTAGTTTGCTACTGATAATACACCCTATAATATCACTTCCTTCGTAACTATGGCTGAACCACGTAAAAATAACTTGCAGCAGTTGTATTCCCATGCTGACAGCCATGGAGTCTGTGTGCTGTCAGGAATACTGTAAGACAACGTCCACAATAACAGAGGAAGGAGTGGGTTGTATAATGCAACATTCTGGCTTCCCCACAGTCTGCCTGGATGTCAATGTGCTGCGCACAGCCTACAATACCTAGCAGCAGGACCATACCCAGGATGCTGACATGTTCAGGACTATCACTCCTTCCGTCTGCTGCCAAGACCAGATCTCCACCCATTTATTTGAGGGTTTCGATGGTGCCACTCTGCTCGACATCCCCATGTCTTGAAGACTGCTGGCTCAAGGTGGTTATGCTAATGACGGAAGAATGTGCTGCGATGAATGGTGGCCACTCCCATCATGCCAAGCATTCGGCAGACTTTGGTCGGCATACAACTTGACACCAAAATGGCAGCAAAATGAGCAGATTGCCTGCTGGCACCCTCCCAATCATAGGCTGGCTGGACCATTCCCTCACATGGTTGGACGAACTGCAGATCTGTGTGATGTTGAGCGCTGTTCGTATGGCTGTTCCCTGGAATCTCCGCACCACAACCCAACACAGACTTGGAAAAGCTGCATCAGTTGGGACTGGAACACAAAAAACGTATTTTCCTCATCCAGACTGGCTGAAGCCTCAGGCTCCCTGAGAGTGAATAAAATATATGTCAGACATTATTATAACGTCAGACATTTTTACAGATGCTGTAGGGCGAACAAAATTGTGTTCAAAATATGCACATCACTATTCACCCAATGGTCACATCATCTTCCTCTTCCTCAGCTTTTATTAAATCAATTGTTGGTATTGACAGCTGTTTCACAATAACTGCCTGGTCATGAGGTGAGAAGTATAAATGTGGCATACGAGAAGACAAAACAACATATCAAATCCAAAGTAACTAGGGCAGATATATAAGATGATGACTCACCAATCCTTCTTGTATGTGGAATTAGAAATGACACCTGTGTGCCTTCTTTACACATTCCAGTTGGTCGCAATGCAGGTGATGCAATGGTGGTGCAGAGACTACACAAGAAGGTCCCTCAATAGGAGAAGGCTCATCCAGGTCACTGGGTGCTAAACACTAGGTTTAGAGGTTTACACAGCTAGACAGAGCTGGTTTAGAGGTTTAGAGGTGCTAGACAGCTATATTAGAGGTTTAGAGGTGCTAGACAGCTATATTAGAGGTTTACTACATTGAACTTACCCGGTTTATCTCCATCACTGCTGACACTCGCGATGTACCGGTAGGTCAGTAGGAAGCAGAGGTTGCAGGCTTCACATTCACACTCGGCACAGCACCTGGTTTCAGTCGTAGTCTCATTCCGAATCCTGCCTTCCTCCGGAGTGAAATGTGCACTCCATACAGTGCCCGCGGTTCCCTTAACGTTACTCCAATCCGCTCGCTTCAACTGGACAAACCGGTCCCATTTCAAAACTAGCGTCTAATTTTTGGGCCACAATTGAGTTGTAACCCTGTCCTTGTGGGTATTACTGCACCCAGCCACCACCACTACTAACTGCACAGGAGAAGAGCAGATGCAGTTTTTCGCATGAATTTAGCTATATGGTCTCTTCTTCATGGATGTACATAGTAGCTCACCAGCTCCAACACTTGGTTTGGAATGTAATTACATGCTAGCATGGCTAGTAGCTAACGTTCGCCAGCTGGAACTAGCTAGGTAGCACAGGTTCTCCATATGACGTTGAGAAATAGTGCATTGTGGATGGTTCCGAAGATATCCGGAAATAAGTTAATAAATATGTAAAAATGCAAAACATAACTATGTTTGTAGTTATAGGTAACCAGATCGTGACTACAACTAAGTTACTAAGTCTTTGACCACACTGTGTTGTTACTTTGGTGAGTAAAAACGAATGCTTCCTAGCCTTTAACCTCAGGCTATCTAAACTCAGCCCTGATCAGGGAAGGGTAGTCTAGTGGTGGTAAGCTCAGGAACCACAGGAGCAGGTGTGCCGAAGGCACAGTTATTTTCTTGATTGGTCCCACACCAGTATAAGGTAGAACATTCAGATCCTATGAAGAGGAGTAGAGATTTTATGAGCTATATAATTAATTGATTAATAACACTGTCATAATTGATGCTTTATGACATCTGGCATATAGAACTGTGGTTAGGATCAAATAACTAATCCTTTTGATTTTATTTGTCACTTTTCTTCCAGTTTTATGTATGGAGAGCTGACGGACAAGAAGACAATAGACAAAGTCAGAGAGACCTTTGATAATTATGAGTCCAACTGCTTTGAGGTCCTGCTATACAGGAAGAACAGTGAGTGTTCACATTTAATTGTTCACATTATATATGTATTGTATACTATATTGTATTGTATAAATAAACAAAATGCACCTTATGAGAAAAGCAACTGTTACTCCTACATTGTAAAGAATCCATTCTGTCTGCAGGGGCGCCAGTGTGGTTCTATATGCAGGTGGCCCCCATCAGGAATGAGAATGACAAAGTGGTTCTCTTCCTGTGCACCTTCAAAGACATCACTGTCTTCAAGCAGCCCATCGAGGACGAGTCCACTAAGGGTAAGGACGAGTCCACTTCGGGTAAGTCTCTCTGTGGGTCTCGATCATGCTGAACTGTGGCTATTTGCTTGTTCTGAAGAGCCAGTCTATGATTTACTGGAACGGAAAAGGTCTTGTGACTGTTGTGGGCAGAACCTCCAGAAGATGTGGGTGTTTTTCCCCTCTCCTAGATGAGTGATGTACGTTGTCAGGACTTTGCCCTGGGCTCTGTTCTTAGCAGCGTTAAGCGGGTGTGTTTGACCTAAGACAAGAAGAATCCTGTCCCCCCGAGGGACCCCCCCCCCCCACACACACACACACACAGCGCAGACTCCACATCACCATACCTCGTCAGAGATCTACCGCTGGGAAAACGAAGCTCATGGGATTGGAAGATAACTAACACATGAGAATCAACACATGATGATTAACATGGGCTTTACATGCTGTTAATGTTGGGAGCAGGTTGACCAGAAACAATACCATGACAGTCAGGGATATTGTCAAAAGATGACTTTTTCTGACCTCACCATAAAGCCATGCCACTCCATCCACATTTTACAGGACATGCAACTTCTATTGTTGTTGTTTTTAGTCAAGTTAAGGGGCTTTCATCTTTTGTAAAAAAAAAAAAAAACATACAAATACGAGTCAAATGACATGTATACATTCCATTCATACATTTTACAAATAAAATTATACAGTCTCAATTTACAATTTAAACATTGAAAGTTCAATATGTAAACTGCCATCATGAAGCCATCGAAATCCTCCGGTGTGAAATCAGCACTGCCTACAGTGCCCGCAGTTCCCTTAACGTTACTCCAATCCATTTATATTTTCCACTATTTTGTATTTTATTAGGAGCTTATTAGCATCTGTCCTCTAATTGCTCGTGATGACCTTACCATAGGATGACTGCTGTGTGTCCAGACCTTGTTAAGGAGTCACTAATTAGGAGTGGACCCAGAGCAGGGCTGCAGTGTGGACTGTCGCAGTGTTCAGTGTTATTTTTTTACATTTAGTCATTTTAGCAGACGCTCTTATCCAGAGCGACTTACAGTTAGTGACTGCATACATTTTCATACTGGCCCCCCGTGGGAAACGAACCCACAACCCTGGCGTTACAAACGCCATGCTCTACCAACTGAGCTATAGGGGGCTGGGATGGGATGGCAGACATGGACGGGTCTGAAGGGTATGGAAACTGAATGCTCACACTATAGAAACACAACCTCCTCATGCTATAGCTCAAGCTGCTCCCACAGCTCAGCATGTCAACACCCATTCACATCAGCTGAGGAGGAGAGAATCCAACTAGACTAATTAGCCGTTCCATTCGTCCACGCTTTGAATTCAAAAGTGTCAAGTATTCACTGTCAGTGTTTCCCCTAGGGGGGGGGGGGGGGGGGGGGGGGTTGCTACTAATGTTAGTGCAATGACATGCTAGCTGTTCCCATAGACTTTCAGTCATTGAGCCAACAACTATCTCGGCAGATATATATTCTGAAAAAATACATCATATTTTTTGCAGCGGTGGCAACAATTCAGCAGCGGTGGGTGCTAAATTATTATAGGGGGAACACTGACTGTATTTGAGCAGAAAGTATTTGATCATCATATGCAGTTTGTTTCAGGGGTGATGCTTTGATTTGGTTCTTACTATTTTTAGCGTCGCCACATTGTATTTGGTTGTTCTGGTCGGGTTGTTTTCTTTTTGTGTTCTCGAGGGCTAGCAGAATGTGCATTAGCCTGTTTTACAAGGCTCTTTTGGGCTATTACAGTAAAGATTAGGGGCTCTTTACATGGTCAGTGTGGAGTGTTGCTTTGCCCTGGCGGCATACAATGAGTTACACAACTCCTAACACTCTCTTCATCCGGGGGGAGGTCAGTTGCATCTGTTGCAGTACCATTGTGAGTGGGCTGCCGCTGTGGCCTGTGTGGTCTCTGCCACTGGTCTCCTTTCACCTCGCTGCACTTTGGGAAAAATAGCTGAATTAACCTCCTTTTGAGAGGAAGTGAAGGAGGATATAAGGTTAGAGACCCTGGAGCTGAGGGCTATTTCAAAGACACTTTTATCCAAAGCAACTGACAGTCATTCGTGCATACATTTTACGTACAGGTGGTCCCTGGAATCGAACCCACTATCCTGGCATTGCAAGTGCCATGCTCTACCGCACGGCAAGCGGTACCGGAGCGCCAAGTCTAGGTCCAAGAGGCTTCTTAACAGCTTCTACCCCCAAGCCATAAGACTCCTGAACAGCTAATCATGGCTACCTGGACTATTTGCATTGCCCCCCTCCCCCAACCCCCTATTTTACGCTGCTGCTACTCTGTTTATTATTTATGCATAGTCACTTTAACTCTACCCACATGTACATATTTCCTCAATTACCTCAACTAACCGGTGCCCCCGCACATTGACTCTGTACCAGTACCCCTTGTATATAGCCTCACAATTGTTATTTAATTTTACTGCTGCTCGTTAATTATTTGCTATTTTCTATTTTTTACTGACTGCATTGTTGGTTAAGGGCTTGTAAGTAAGCATTTCACTGTAAGGTCTACACCTGTTGTATTCGGCGCATGTGGCAAATACAATTTTATTTTATTTTATTTTATTTGACCAACTGAGCTACAGAAGACCCAGACTTTTGCTGTGCATGCCTAGTGCCTACCTCATTACTGTGGCTTTGAATCCATAGCTGCTGGTTTTACAACAAGATTAAGTCATCTTTAGATGAAGTCATTTATTAATGTATGGTTAATAGCGTATGCTTTTAGTGTTTCTCCAAGTGGTTTTGAAATGTCTATTATTTATGTATGGTTAATAGCGTATGCTTTTAGTGTTTCTCCAAGTGGTTTTGAAATGTATATTATTTATGTACCTTTTCCATATGGCCAAGCTGTGCTAAATGTGTCAACGTTTTTTATGTCTGCAGGATGGACCAAGTTTGCACGGCTGACCCGGGCACTGACACATAATAACCGCAACACCAGCCACCATACCACACCACAGCAGCTCACTCCTATGAGCAGCCATGAGGTCAGCCAACCCAAGCAATCCCGTCTGGCAGAGGTAAGTGCTGTGTCACATGTAGAGCTAGGTATAGACCAGGTTAGGGTTGTGGTGTAGGGAGTTAGACAGACACCAGTTGATTATCTCCTCGATCACATTCAGGTCCTGGGCCTAGTGCAGAGAGAGAAGACAAACTATTAACATACAGGGCCTAAACAGAGAGAGAAACAGAGATGGCCAAATCGTTTTATTTTATTTTATAAGAGACAGAAGAGCAGAGACACAGGAGAGGACTTCTAGGTGAAGATTGCATGACCTGATGTTTGACTGTACACACGCACACATACTGTACAAACTGTTCACTGTTCACTGTACACACACACACACACATACAAACACACACACATACACACCTCCTCATACATACTGTACGTTCAAGTTTCAAGTTTTATTAGTTGTATGTACGGCATACTCTTGGTATACACCATATGCGTAACACAAGAAGGCACAATTTATAATCCAATATTTACACGTGTTTTGGAGAAGGGGGGTATTGCGGGGCAAGTGTTTAAATTGTGCAGTATTTAGCTATTATAACAACAGTCTGTTAGCAGCAGTTGTGATGTGTGTGTAGCATGAATGTATATGAGTGTGTGTGGATGTGTGTATGTCTGTGTGGGTGTGTGCGTGAGTGAGTGTGTGTGCTAAGGTGCAGAAAATCAGAGCAGGTGGTCAGTCCAGTGAAGGGTGTTCAGCAGTCTGATGGTTTGTAGATAGAAACTGTCTCTGAGCCTGTTGGCATCAGACCTCATGCTCCGATACTGTCTGCTGGACGGTAAGGGAGTGAACAGCTCGTGGCTGGGGTGTATGGGGTCCTTGATGATGCTGCGGGTCTTCCTCTGGCACCGTTTGGAGTAGATGTCCTGAAAGGGTGGGAGGCCGATCCCAGTGATGTACTGGGCCGTCTTCACCCCCCACTGAAGGGCCTTGCGGTCGTGGACGGAGCAATTCCCATACCAGGCTGTGATGGAACTGATCAGGACTCTCTCGATGGTGCAGCGGTAGTATTTGGAGAGGACCCGGGGTGGCATGCCAAATTTCTTCAGCCGCCTTAGGAAGTAGAGACGCTGTTGCACCTTTTTGACAAGAATTGTGGTGTTGTTGGTCCATGTCAAGTCCTCTGTGATGTAGATGTTGAGGAACTTAAAACTGCTGACTCTCTCTACTGCATTCCCGTTGATGTGGATCGGGGACATGTTCCCTCTTCTGCTTCCTGAAGTCAACAATCAACTCCTTTGTTTTGCTGACGTTGAGGGAGAGTTTGTTGTCCTGGCACCACAATACCAGTTCCCTTACCTCCTCCCTATAGGCTGACTCATCGTTGTTGGTTATCAGGCCTACAACCAAGGTGTCGTCAGGAAACTTGATGATGGATTTGGTGTCGTGCAAAGCCATGCAGTCGTGGGTGAACAGGGATTACAGCAGAAGGTTGAGAAAACACCCCTGTGGGGCCCCTGTGTTAAGAGTCAGTGTGGAGGAGGTGTTGTTGCCAATCCTCACAGCCTGTGGTCTGCCCGTCAGGAAGTCCAGGATCCAGTTGCAGAGGGTGGTGTCCAGACCCAGGGCTCTGAGGGTGTCGAGCTTGGAGCGAGCAATAGTGCTGAATGCTGAACTATAGTCAATGAACAGCATTCTCAGATTGTTACGGCCGTGTGAGTAGCTATGGAAATGGCATCTTCCGTGGATCTGTTGGAGCGGTGGGGAAATTGGAGTGGGTCCAGTGTACCTGGCATGCTGGCCTTGATGTGGGCCATCACCAGCTTCTCAAACCACTTCATGATGACCGGGGTGAGTGGGAAGGCATGATAGTCATTTGGGCATGTCACCTTATTTTTCTTGGGCACTGGGACGATGGTGGTCTCCTTGAAGTAAGTGGAGACTACAGCCTGGGACAGGGACAGGTTGAAGATGTCAGAGAAGACAGCTGGTCAGCACACACTCTGAGGACGTGGCCAGGGA